TAGGGGAATACACTGACTTTCATGAATATTATATAATTTAATTGACATAGAATAAAGTTCATAAGATAAGTTATTAAACTTTTTTACTTTTTTAAAGTCGAAAGAGTAATTTTTAAATTTGAGTTAGCTTAAATAGCCAATTTTATTAAGTGATGAAGGCAACGAACAGTTGCCGAATCGGTAACACTTGTGTCTTTCACGCGTAGGGTACGAGGTTCAAATTCGACTGTGGCAATTAATATTTTGCATTTTTTTTTGAGTTAGAATAAAATTTTCAAATCATTTGATATTTATCTCATTTAGATTCAATAACTTCAATGAATATAAAGGAACTTATCACTATAGTCTCCCCTCGTGAGAAGAAATTTTTATTCATGTTAATATTATTTTACTATGTGGTTTTTTTTGTGGCTACGATTTATTTTGCCAACCCTCACTAGACCTACTATTTCAACGATACGTCAAATGATTATAATTCGTAATTAGTTTAAGTTATTACTCTTAAAGATCGAAAAAATATTCCTTTTTCAAATTAAAAGTAGCTTAACCAGCGTTTTCCATACAAACAATTAAAATCATTAATTTCTAATATTCTTAAAGTATTCATTGTTGAATTAGATTTGATATGATAACAGTTTTCAACTACAAAAATAAATAATTTTACTTTGTAATTTATTAATTTTTTAACTTTATTTGTGAGTGCTACTACTAGTCTCTAATATTCCAAATTTTTTTTGTAACATGTTGCTGTATAAATCATAAATTAAAAAAAAAAAATGATTTTTAGTTTCACCTGAATTTACCGATGGATTATTACAATTATAATTAAATATTATAATACGCTCAATTGAGTATATCTTTTTAACAACTTTTTTTTATTGGTTCTTTTGGTTAAAGTAAATCAAAATTAATTAAATTCTAAATATTTCCATTGTAGAATTTTTTTACACACCAAAAGTTAATTAGAAATGATTACTATTATTTCTATTTAGTTATCTATTACGATAAAAATGCAAAAAAAATATTGAGCTTTTCTGATAAATGTACTGTAAATAGTAATTATAAAATTTCCT